CTCTCTCTCTCTCTCTCGCTCATTTCTCCAAATTTATTTTAAGAAAAATTATCCATTCGAGAAGATTTCGTAAAATCCAGAATTACTGGAACAAGATAAAGAAACTATACAATACACAAATCACGAGATCTTGGATGGAGCATTGGAGTGACATTTAAGCATGAGAGATGGTGCGAGAAGGCATTTAAAGATGTCAGGCGTTAGGCCGTTAATACTTACTCCTTATTGTCAATCGTGGGAAATTTCCTGCGATTGTAAATAAAAATATTATTTTTATATGCTCACCGTAACAGCGGTTCGATTTCTTGTCGCCATAGTCAGTCACAATCGCGCAGAGAAGCTCTTATTTCCGTTGCAGGCACAAATCTCCTTTCCGTCGAGAAATAAGCCACCACAGGTCAGGTCTGTTTGAACTCTCGCGAGAAATTCTCAACGACTTCGTCGATTTGAATTTGTTCGGCTGGAGCCGGCGTAGAAAAGAGCAAATAAATGCGCGCCTGCGCAGCAGAGACGCCGCGTTTCCATTAGAACTGGTGCGCACTCAGTGCACTTTAAAACCGTTGTAACACTTGCTAATCTGAATGTAAAAGTGAGATATCTCAATTGATAAAATGCACAGTGTATATTTTATCAAATAACACAATAAAATATATTGAGGATTTCACAATTTAACTCGTTTCTGTATCTTTATTAAATATCTTTATGTCGATTTGAATAAAATGCGTTGAGTGCACACCAGTTCTGCTAATGAAAAACGTTATAAACATCCCCTCTCTGTGTCTCTCTCTCTCTCTCTCTCTCGATCGAGAGTCATCTCAGAATAATAAAACCCCTTTTAAAAAGTCTAAGTAGCTCATAAAAGTTGTCAAGGAATAAAGTGGCGGTTTTCTGCAACAAAAATAATCAAAAAATAATGGAGACTTGCGAGAAAGCGGACGCGTTCGAATTAATAAAGCTACTTTATTATGGAGTGTATTAAACACATGAAAAAAATAGAAATATAAATTGTCTTTTACTATATATAGAAGAGAAATTATTATCAATATTACTTTGTAATTATTTCATTATTCACTTGTATGTTTGCTTTTCAAAAGATTGTCTCTTATATCTTTAGGTATCTCCAAATATTTCGTATTTGTCTTATTTTTTAACAATTCTACTGTCATTCAATAGGAATAGTAGCAGTCATATTTTCTAATTTATGATTATCTATATATTTTAGATTGCGAATCCTTGCAAAAATTCCATATATATATACATACTGGTGCTTAAAAGAGTTTGTTGCTAGTGTAATTATTTATATATACACGAT